TGAAGGTGAAATCCTTGTTCCAGGATAAGATCTCATTTTACCCCTCTTTGTTCAGGACTGTAAATATTGTCAGAGTGCATGGTTTTCTAGCAGAGCTGAAGAACTTGGTCTTCTGTTAAGTCCCACACACATCACATAGACACTGAACAGAAGATGTGACCTCTGGCTCTAAGGAGAAGCCTCTGCTCTTTACGTTTCATGGATCAACTGTGAAGGTCGTTGGTGACTTCTCCACTGGAACCTGCAGAATGCAGGACTGATTTATCCTGGCTGCCTTCCTTTGTGGATGTCTTATTTGTTTGTTTGTGTGTGTGTGTTTTCTTTCCGTTCTAACATTGCTGCCAATCATCTCCAGCTTCCTTGTGACAAGCTGGTGCTTCCATTGACACTGTTTACTTCTAAGTCTTCCAGGGAGGCAGCTGCCTGAGAAGATGAACCACGGTGTGATGAACCAAATTCTGGCTCCTAGATTGTTTATCCTGCTTTAAAAAGACATTGCTTTCAAATAGTTAAGTACATAAGCTGAACGTCAAAACCTTGGTAAAAGCTGGTGTAAAGTGTGGAGAAGAGGAAGAATGCATTGTTTGCCCAGGAACAGAGAAACGAAATGCCTCTAGAGCTAGGGGGTGCAGCTGGATCTGATGCCTTGTATTCATCAGCACATCGAGACCTTGAGGAGCAGCAGGTGTGCAGTGCAGTCCTCCCATTGAACTGAGCAGTACCTAGTGTGAACCATAGATTTCTTAACCAGGTATGAATACTGCTGCTATTGCTGCCACCTTATTACTGTACACTCTTTTGAAAGCACGGAGTATTTGCTCGTGTGGTGCTTTGTTAAATGGAGCCTTTTTGAACTGCCCAGTCACAATGAAACGTGGAGAGGAGAAATATTCTGAAATGAAAGTTACACGCATCTGTGTGCATCCGCATTTATAACGCCAGGATGCTGTGAGCACCGGCGGGCACCAGGCGGCTCCACGAGAGCGTTCATCCCGCTCTGAGCTGCGGAAGAGCCAATTTGCAGCTCCGGGAACAGTAGCATACAGGTGAGGCTAGCTGGGTATGTTTGTACAATAGACTCTGGACTTGCCATAGATACATAAGAAACAACACGTTTGGGACAAAGACAGCTGAGTCTGGTGGCCACAGCAGAGCAGACAGGGGATGTGGTGCAGCTGCAGCAAGAGCCCCGCAGGAGGGGAGCTGGATAAGCCCAAATGCTGCAGCTGGCTGAGGAGACCGTACACTTCCCACAAGGTTTCTCTTTTTAACAAGACCTTATTCTTACCCAAACCTAGTCCTCCCAACACAGCAAAGTTATGTATTTAGACAAAACAAAACAAAACAAACAAACATTCCTGGAGATTTCATGCATATGTTTAAAGTCATAAATATGCTCCCATTTCAGTAGCTCTGCATTGGTTACTCTTGGTACTTCAAAAGTATTTTGTTTATCCTCTGCATTTCTTTCACTGAACAGAAATGTTTGAAAAGTGACTCCTGGGATAAAGTTATCTGCTGGATCAGTTTAAAAGGGTCCAGAGGAGGGCCACTAAGATGATCAGAGGGCTGGAGCACCTCTCCTATGAGGAAAGGTTTAGGGAACTGGGCTTGTTTAGCTTGGAGAAGAGAAGGTTCCAGGGAGACCTCATTGTGTTCTTCCAGTGCTTGAAGGGTGTGTATAAACAGGAGGGGGAATGGCTGTTTACAACGGTGGATAGTGATAGGACAAGGGGGAATGGTTTTAAACCGAGACATGAGAGGTTTAGGTTGGATATTAGGAGGAAGTTTTTCACACGGAGGGTGGTGACGCGCTCGAACAGGTTGCCCAAGGAGGTTGTGGATGCCCCATCCCTGGAGGCACTCAAGGCCAGGCTGGATGTGGCTCTGGGCAGCCTGGTCTGGTGGTTGGCGACCCTGCACATAGCAGGGGGTTGGAACGAGATGATCATTGTGGACTTTTTCAACCTAGGCCTTTCTATGATTCTATGAAAAGCTAATTCTAAGTAGAAGTGATCTTTCCCTGCTACTCAGCACTGGTGAGGCTGCACTTGGAGCACTGTGTCCAGTTCTGGGGCCATCAGCACAACAGGGACATGTATGTAGTGGAAAGAGTCCAGTGATGGGCCACAGAGATAAAGAGGGGATTGGAGCATCACTCCTGTTAGGAAAGGCTGAGAGAGCTGGGACTGTTCAGTCTGAGAAGAGGATGGGGTCTCTTCAGTGTGTAGACGTACCTGAAGATGCAGAGAGGATGGAGCCAGGCTTTTTCCAGTGGTGCCCAGTGCCAAGACAAGTGGCATTGGGCACAAAGTGGAACACAGTAGGTTCCCTTTGAACACCAGGAAGTGTTTCTGTGCTGTGAGAGTGATGGAGCATCTAGGCTACCCAGAGAGGCTGTGGTCTCCTTTTTGGAGACCTTCTATGATCTGTGATCCTCAATAGCCACATGGACACAGTGCTGGACACCCTGCTCTGGTGCCTGTGCTTGGGCAGAGGTTGGAGCAGATGGACCCAGAGAACGCTGCCAACCTCAGCCATTCTGTGACCTTGTGAACTGACTAATGAAAAAATTCTATATCATTAGGATATATTCGAGCGTTACTTTCTTGCAGACAGAACCCAGCCTGATGTAAACCTCAGAGAAAGAATGGATGAAGGAAGAGAAGAGGTACTCATCTACCCCCTCAGTTCTTCAAGGGTTTGTTAAAAGTAAGTGCACTTGGTGGACCTTATGATTCCCTTCTGGTCAGATAAGTTCGTAACAGTAAAAGTAATTTCAAGAAAATAAACTCAAAGCAGATGAGAGATTAAATTCCTGTGGGAATTATTTTTTTCTGTTGGATTTTGGCTACTCCTTAGAGACATCTTCTTCTTTTCTCATCTTTTCAGTTAACCCTGGAGAGCTGCAGGTTTCTAAATGGTAAAGTATTGCTGTGACTCTTGCTATCAGAAATTCCCACATTAGAAACTTGATGGCTTTGAATTTTGTGCACCTCTATAACCAAAAATCAAAAGCAACTGTTCATCTTTTGGGCTGTAGATAAGATGCACATGACTAGCCCCGTGTTCCTGCTGGCAGCACAGACTTCTGCTATTTAACATTCATGAACTGAAGCTTGTAGTCTGCTCCTGCATATAACACAGAATTTGCTAAGGAATACCTGCCCTGAGCTTTTAAATTTCTCTTAGAATTACTGTATATTGTTATGTTGGGAATTAGATGAAACATTTCTGAGTGTTTCAGAACAGACAGCTGCAGCAACAGGAATCACCTTACAAAGAAAAGTGAGGCCTATTCACCATGTGAGCTACATGGGTAGTGATCTCAGATTAGGGAATTCAAACCCTGGTGGCTTATTTATTTATTTACATATCTGGCTGTTTGCTGTTTTGATTATCAACTTATTTGAAGCTGTGCATGAGAAAGTAGCAAAGAGAACAAAAGACACCGCTTCCTCCATACCGGGCATTTAGGTTCTCTGCTCAGCTGGTGGCTCTGCTTAAGGACCCTTTTAAAGGACACCTTATCCCATGTTGGATAGATGTCAGACAGGTGGAATGAATCACATTCTAAGGATGCCTCTAACTCGCCACTGACCATGGAAACAGTTCCTTTAAGTTCTGCAGCTTGCTTTCAGACAGCTGAAGGTAGAGGTAATGAATCCATCAAGTATGTATCCAAATCTTTTTGCTGCTTCAGAGCTCAAGATTGCATTTGCTCCATGGAGAAGCAGAGTGTGCTTGGGTCTGCTGGCACGGCTGTTTGAACACATCCCTAATTCATCTTGATCTTCTCATGGGTAAGTACAATGGATTCTATTTCTCACAGGACATAATTTAGCATGCAGAGCATTCTTGAAAACTGTCCTAGAATTCACTCTGGTTTTGAAACCTGAGTTTTGTTTTCTTAAATCTCATGCTTTTTAACATAATTGCTACTTTCTGAAAGTCTCTCATCTTGTAATGAAATACATCTTGTATACACATAGTAACTATTTTTAATTCTGAATTCATGTTTAAAATCCTGTGCTATTTCAAATACAGGCAAAACCATCCTTCCTCTTGTACGGCACTGTTAGATGACATATAGAACTCCCAAACCCCTACAATTAGTAGCTGATAAAACAGTTTCTTATTCAGCAAATGTAGCAGGTATTTTTGAGCCTTCTAGAGGAGCACCTAAAGGTCAGACTGGAAGCCTGGCTGAGATAAACATCTACAAAAGGTACAACGTATAGGACTAAGAGTTCTGCAGCATTATTCACCGAGGAACTGCAGGTGTCTTTGTCACAGCTTCCACTCATGTGCATTCATTGACCTTTCATCTGTGCTTATAACTGTAGGAGAAGAGGAAAATGCAGCCTGGTGAGCTTTTCCCTTTATCGACGGATATAAAATCCTTAAATCCCCTCTAAAGTGCCATAGAAAAACTACAGCTACAACAGCAGACCCATCAAGTACTATTCTTACATCTGGATGTTTGACATTGGTGAACATAATGCAAGAGCTTGTAAAAATCACATGACACCCTTTTGGTTACTGTAATAAGGAGACAGAGAGACAATACTTATTGGATCTCCTCCTTCGATTTGCTGCCAGAGCGGGGAAACACATGAGGGAAACCCAAGGGTAAATGTGAGCAAAAAAACTCACTGCGTCGACTGAAGGTCAATTCTGTATAGTGAAACAGCAAATGCCAGGAGACCAGCCAGGTAAAATGTGATGCACAAGTACCTGCAGTCCTGCATGTGTTACGTGATCTCCTCCACACGCTTCAGGTCCAAATTCAGCAGTCCATGTGTGGACTTTACTGCACACTACTATGTGTGTGCTTTACTACATCAGGACCGGGGGCATTAAAACCACAAATGAAAAGACTGTCTGTAACTAAATGTGGATGATAGGTTTAGAGACACAGATTGCTCTGTGATGAAGTGGCTGTATGTTTTATCGATCTGTAGGGGGCATGGAAAATGACCTCAAAGGAGACACTTCTCCCCGTTTCCATTTCAAATTTATTATCAGTTGCATTTTACTTGTATTTTTACTTTCACCTTATTTTTAAGTGTTGGCAAAGACTGGAGTGTTAATGTTAGTGTGCATAAATAATTTATTGAGTAATAATATATGAGAATGAATTTGATATGCTTCTCTATATGAATGACATTCCATTATGGAAATTTATTAATCAGCACATTCCACTCCATCAAATCTAGATTGTTTGAGGAAGAGGAGGGGAGGAGGTGGTGAGGCAGTTTGGAAAAATGCAGTACAGTGGGCTGACTAAATCTGAATAATACTTGGTCTCTGAAAATGCACAGTTATCAGTGTAACTCAAATCATACCGATGAGATACAGAACAGTTATATGCAGTCATAGTAACAATTTGTAATGTTAATATTAATAGCAGTGTCTGTTCGAGAATACAGATTTAAAATAGGTACATACAATTTTATTAAGTATAAAAAGATACCGTGCAGAGCACAATACAATACATTTCAGCTTGAATTCTGGTGGTGCTCAAGCTCCACTGTCTTAATTGACATTGTCACCAACGAACACTGGATAGAATTACTTCTCTGTATAAAATGAGCTTTTTCTGGATATATTCACAATGTTTGGTTTTAAAAATACAGTAATATTGTTTCACTAACTACTTACACTAATCAAACACTGACAAGACTGCTGGCCAGCCTGCATCTGGTTTTTAACATACATTACTGACAATTTTCCCTGGTTTGTTTTGCCTCTCTCTGAGAATAGATCCTTTAAACTATTAATTGACTTTTTCCCAAGTTCGCAATCAGAACACAGGCTCACACTACTTCTACATTCCTCACATTGCTAAAGTTCACTGACATCAGCAGAGTCTTCAATATGCAAGGACTGCAGGACTCTTCCCTTAAGCTCTTTTCCCCCTGCCAAGCTTTTTCTAATGTAGCACAGAAGGCATGCTTTAAATGATTATTTATTAGGATAAGGGGATTCTATTTGCTTTATTTCTTGAAAGTGGATGACATTCATAGCCTTCCAACTTTAACTATTTTCTTTGGAAAAGCACACATGCAAACAATGTAAAATTAATTAAGTATTTTGTTTGCACATTCCAATTTGGTTTGATTTAAAAAAAAAAGAAGTCAGAATTCTTAACTTCAAATTGATTTAAATGATAATGTGAGGGTCTTAAAAGAAATGACTTACACTTCCTCCTCTCTAAAATATATTAACGTTAGACTGAAAAATAAATTAAATAATACAAAAATGCTGAGATTAGGCTATCACAGGAATATCTGCCAAACAAAGCTTGGTCTTTTGCTAAAATTAGCTTACTACATTTGCAATACATGCTAAGCAAAGACCCTACTTCTCTAACAGGTACATTCAGACAATATATATTTTATGGAATAAATATATAATATATCCAGTTATAGATTTCTGAATAGTAGCTATAATAGATACAAGCAATGCCTATGTTTAAAAATACAGTTCTAGGATTCCCTAACTTTACCACTAATAAAATTAAAATTGACCTAAAACTTTCTCACTCTGTTGATGCATAATAAAATATATGGAAACGCCAAGAGTAAAAAGCCAATTGCTTCTACAAATGGAATACTTTATAAATATAGTAAATTGCTATTTTCAGAGGGAAAATTGAAAATTATAAACAGGAAGTTAGGTTAAAACAGCTCTACAATATATTGTACAAAGTGGCTATGAAGTGCGATGTGTGAGCTTGATGTCTGTGGCAAAATTCTGAACTGATGCAGTTGTTTATTTCTGGAGATAACTATAAAGAAAGACTCTGTCCCCCAAAACAGCCAATCTTGATCTCCTTAAGCCACTTTAGTCACTTCCACTGACTAGAGAAAGCCAACCAGCCACTTTGTGAGAGTAAGGAGTGCAAGATTAGATCACACCATTATTTGGAAGCCCTGGACTTCTCTGTCTCTTAGCATTTATTTACCATGCTGTTCTCATTAGGAATGGAGTCACAGAACTACTGTGTATCTGTGACTGCCATGTTCTGAAAAGTCTAATAATGATAAGTACCCTCTATATGGCTGTCTTAACTACATTATTCTTGTACTAAACATTTTCCAGATGAATTCTGTTTCATGTTTCTGTAGTTGCTTCCTTTTAATGGAATACTGAAGTACAGCTCTGGTTGCTTGATTACTGCACTCTTGATCGAGGCTTTTTTTTTCTTGAGAATAACCTAGAATTAAAGAAACACATTTCTCAGAGCAAGAACAAAGAATTGAGGAATTTAATTGCTAGCTGTCTCTGCCTGCCTTTCTTCCCCTTTTAGATAAAAATGTAAAATGAGTAAAAATACCTTATTTGCTAAAAAAAAAAATTTGAAAAACCCTTTTTTTTTTTTTTTTTTTAAACTTCACAGACATCTTCACAGACTTCACTGTTTCCTGCATCAACGAAACTGGAAGTCTGATGGCCTACCAGGGCTTTTTCTTCCCTAAGTATCAGCAAAGGTCAGTGTCAAGGAGTAACAATGACACCACCACTTGGAGCTTCAGTTTCTCGTCACTAGAGGACTTTAGGAACCAGCTGTAGAATATTATTGGTACAAATGTCGCATTTTGGGAACTGCTGGTATAAAATGTAGAGAATCAGGATTTAAGCTCTTACTTTACCACATGCTTCCAATTTGATTTCATTTGGGAGAACAGTGTATTTATTATATACGTACTCAAGACACAAGCTGCCACTGATTTCAGAAAACATGCAACTAAGGAAAATCTGGGCTTTGATATCTCTGTACCTCACACATCACCAGTTCTGACAGCATTGGAAAAGGCACAAGCCTCTTGGAAGCTGCTGTAATACTGAATATCAGTCATGAGTACTTCCTGCTGAACTGGACAGGAGAGGTAAGACTTGTGGCTTCCCTGCACAGGAAGCATGGACCGAAGTGTGGGGTTCCTGTAGAAGGACCGGTACAAGAAAAACTTTTCTTCATATATGAGCAGCAAATGTTAATGCTCTGTTGCACTGTAATAAAGGTATGGTTGAAAATATATCAAGCTATCAAAATCTGGTAGTATACTCTTATCACTGCTGTTTCCAGGCAATGCAGATTTCTTATATGCAAGACTTGCATATATGCCAGTCTTGCTCGCATACAAGTGGGCACCGATCTTTGGGTTCTTGGAAACTGGCTCCAGAATTTGTGCAGGCCTTTCATTCACCTATTTTCAAAATGCATTTTAATTGGGGCAGATCACACGGAAACGTACCAAAGGATGAGCTCTCCTAGTCCTCAGTGCAGCAAGTGCTTGCCAGGGCTCTCTCCCAGTCCACCCCAATGGTTCCCCAACCTGCTCCAGGTGCAGGACCCAATGTCACCCCCTGGGCCATCAGCCCTCGCTCCAGCCAGGCCACTGTGCCAGCTTCAGCTCCCCACAGCCCTGCCCTGCCCAGCCTCGGGCCCCACTCAGCTGGGCCCTCCCGTAGGTCCCCAGCTGGTCCTGGCCTTGGACTGGGCTGGTGCTGCCTCGGTGCCCCTGCTGCCTCCTCCTGGCTGGGCTTGGATGGGTCCTGGTGCCAGGCCCTGCCCTGCCGAGGGCCTTAAGGAAGACAATGAATACTCTCACCTACGACATGTGATTTTGCTGTGTATTTTGCTGCTGCTGCTGCTGAATGAGCAATTGCTGCTGTTGCCGGCGTCGTGCTGTTCTCAGTTTTTCGAAGCGAGCCTCCATCTCCTCCAGCACCTTGGGAGTGTAGCGTACCACCAGCTTCACGCTGTCCTTGGCCGCCTTCAGGAGCTCCACCGCCTTCTCGTGATGCTCCCCTTCAACGCTCTGGAGGCAAGGAGCACAGATTTAATACAAAAAACGCTGCTTTGATCCAGAGCTCTGTCCTCTTTTTTTGCACTTGCTACCATGAAAAAGCTGTCAAGGTTTTAGGAAATTTTCAAGCTTTACAGTTTTCAAGGAACCATTACAGGAAAGTGTGGAGTTAAGTAAGACTTGTACACTATTGTGAATATGTTCATCTTCATATTTTACATAACTGAAATGTGTTTTAGGTTGCATTACAAACCTAAGTTACGATCCACGTGAAGAGAAGGGGAAATACTCTACGTGCTTTATGCAAACAAAAATAATGCAAAAAATCCAACTCAGCTCCTGCAGTAAAAACCCAAACACTCTAATTGCAAGGTACAAAAATAAAGTGGAACAGAGTGAACACAAAATCTTATTAACATGTTAGCAAGAAATGAAGAAATTGCAAGTCTGACATTGCGGTTCCTCTCTTATGCTGTGGCCCTGCCAGGATCCCACTGTGAGTGATGGGTGGTGACAGAGCAGTCACAGAGCTGCGGGAGGAGGAGCACACCCACAGCTCCCAGGGACAGCCCTTGCACTAAGGAGCTGATGGCACTGCTCACACATTGAACATAGAAATGGCAGCGGTTCTGTCAAATGGAACTGGTCTTTACCTGGTTAGCTGTGTGTAATCAAACACTGACACCTGAAGCATTTCAAGTTCTTGCCTAACAAACACATTTTCTTCCTCTTTCTGGAAAATAGTAAGGTGAAACCTGCTGTGTTGCCAAATGCATAACGAAGGGGGCTCAAGCTCTGATTTTTGTGCTAGCATTGCTTGAAACAGTAGATTTCCAAACGGGGGAAGTAATTTGGCTGTGAAAAGAATATTTAATTTCTATCATTACATGGATTGACTGGAGTGCTTTTCATACATGTAGATTGTTCCACTCCTTAGGAACAAGGGTGACATTTTCTAATGGTGTGTGATTGCCCACATGGTGTAGGAAATAGTCCAAAAAACAAAAGTATCTCTGCGCAGAAAAAAGCTTACACCACCGAGATCTTCATGTTGATTTTAAACCATTTAAAAATGTCAATTTCTTCCCACATAGAATAAGAAAACAAGCTTTTACTACATGCTGGTTTAAAACTTCAATGTATACCCTGCTATTTAAAATGAGACTATAACCAAAGGCCTCCAGAGAGAACCATCAGCGTTAAAAACATTCAATGCTCATTTCATGCTAAAAGAATAACTTAGCATCGTTATAGCAACTGTCAGATGTTAGAAGATGCTAGAAATGCTGAGAAGCATTGTCCAAGAACACAATGAATAAGAATTCCACTGTGGCACACCATGAGCTAGCAATAATGATTTAGAAGTTTCAAAAACCAGACACAATGCGCTTCTACATAAATTATATACACAACACAATCCAAGCTTATCACCATGGTGTTTATCATCCTGCCTCCTGGTAAATGTCCTTTAACACATTAATCCAAATAATTATTTCAATAGTCTTGGTCAACTGACAGACTCATGTTTCTACAGAAATGTACGCTGCTTCAAAAACAATGCAACTTAGAGAAACAATGAATGTTGTTTCATGTGATGTACCAAAATGATTATCAGAAAAAGAGAAAACCTTGAAATAAACGTTGCCCCAACCCGGAAGCATTCAAGGCCAGGCTGGATGGGGCTTCGAGCAACCTGGTCTAGAGGGAGGTGTCCCTGCCTGTAGCAAGCGGTTGGAACTAGGTGACCTTAAAGGTCCCTTCCAACCCACAGCATTCTGTGATTCTAAGCATCTACTTGATTTTTGAGAGAAATGAATGGCTTCATGTTTTGGAACTGTATGCTCATGAAATTTGTCCACTAGGTTTCCTGTTCAAAGATCTTCAAGAAAATTCATGATCCGTGATGACCAGATTTGCTAGAAACTGTGACTGGGATAAATCTGCTGAACAAACACTACTACCCAGAAGCAATTTGAGGAAAAAAAGGTTTAGCTTAAAGTACTGGAAGAAGAAATTGTTGCTGTGTAAGAAACAGTGAATGTAATGCTCCAAAAAGTGCTGAAATAGGAATCTGTAGATGAATGCTGTGAATGAGCTCTCAGAAAAGAAGTCATAGATACGAATTAAAACATCTTCCCCAGGTTGTAAATGACATGAATAAAGAATTGTGATTTTATGTATTCTTTAAAGGAATTATAAGATGGAGTACTTTAACACTTCATACATACTAGCAATCTGTATTTAATTCATGAATGCCTGTTTTCTTCCCATTTGCCTCCAGCCTTTTTTTTCCTGTTTACAGCCAGTATTTTCTAATTAGAAATGTAGCATTTGACTTCGTTGCTATCCAGGTCAATGGAAGACTCCCATTGACTTGAATAGTAATGATACAGAGCTCTGAAAAATAAGCAAAATGGGGAAACCAACAAAGGCAGCATAAAACATAGCTGTGCTAAAAACAAATCTTACTCTCCAAACTTACCCAGCTCAGGTCTTAACCAAAAGTTTCAGCTGCTTTTAAATCATTGCTATACTTGCCATTAACATCTTCACTGCTACCTGCACTCATGTTTTGAAAGCCCGAGAAATGCTTTTTCTGCATAGCTGAAGCTGCACAACATAAATAGGAAAACCCCTTGGAGTAGGGAAAAGAAGTTATACCAGCAAAGGAAGTTGTTTTGCAGATTGATTTCTCCTCTCTCCGCAAATCACTACGGCTGTGCTGGCAAAAAGCTCCTGCTGCTATCAGTCATGCCTGCACAAGGGATTTCACTGCCTGGATTACACTGGCTAGGGATGTGGCAAGGATCTGACACTTATATTACTTTAGAACTGCCCACCAAAGGTGAGATCTAATATTTTTGTATTTTGATTTAATATGCAATTGTTGCCTATGTATATTCTCATATTTCTTCCCTTTATTGCATTGGCAGATTGTATTAACAAGGAAGATGAAATACTTCACAGACAGGAATAGCTGAAAGAACTGCAGACATGGTTCAGGAAACACCAATATTTACAGCATCCAAGCAAACAGACTTGTCATAAATATAAACAAAACAAAAACAAAAACCCAGTCCCTTGCAGACAAAAAAGAGAATCCAGTTGTTACTCCACGTGATGAGAGACAGACTAGAATATTTTTACAAGGTATCTGTAAGCAAACACTTGGGTGAGAAACTAGCCTTTATATATCTATTTCACATCCTTGTCTGTATCTGAACTCAAACCAGGTATCTGATAAACAAAGAATCTCTGCCAGGTATTAACAGTCACCAACAAATGCCTTTGCCAAGCCATCTGCAGGGCTTGGTGCTTTCAATTTCCTTTACTTTTAGGGGGTATGGGACAAAAGTATGTAAGGAAATACCCAGCATAAGGAGAAAGCAATTTCTTTAACGTCTGGTGAAACAGTTGAAGGAACAGTCATCCTATTCATGCTGGGACAAAGAATCTGGATTCTGAACGCTCGGCTCTAATTTTATGTCAATAATTATGAAGTTGGATAACCACCAAATTCTGGGCACAAACAAGTTACACTTACTTCATTTTCATTCCGTGTTCCACTGCTGAGCCGTCTGTTATATTGTACATACTGTATACTATTTGCTTCTCTTCAGTTGAATTCAGAGTTGCAGAGTGAACTAGCACCAGTGAACAATGTTAAATTTAGACCTCCTCCTGTCTCAAGCTGTCTGCAAACAAGTTGCCAGTTCTATAATTTTTCTCTTTTAACGAATTATATTGTATGGGCTTATTGAGCCCAAGACTGGTTTGTGAGCAGTTGCTCATAGGCGTTATTTCAAGTATGAAATTGCAATTCAAATTCCAAATTCTGTTGTTCAGACTCTGAACGCACAAGCAGCTCTGATGTATCTCAGAATCAGCTTTCTCAATGCCTACATGCATTTGGGAATTTTATATTGTGTTTTCTGCTACATTAGCTTAACATGCATTGTGGAGCACATTTGTGACTTTCTTTTTTTTGGAAGACTATCACGAAGTAGAGGTGACAACAGAGTCGAAGTCAGTATACCTATTTAAGTGAAGGTTCATTACTTTCCTCCTCAGTATTTGCCTACACACTGTTGAAAGTAAAAGGATTTTTTGAGAATCACACATCAATTAGTGGATAAACTCCTCACTGCTGAATATTTGTTTACCTATGGAAAAGACAGCTGATCAATAACAAAATTATTTAATCTACTTCCAGTCAGTGAAGTTCAGGCAATATACTTATTAAATGTTCATTCGATTTCTTTTTCCCTGGGGCTAAATGATCTTTTGTTTCTTTGTTTTTTATCTTTTTCTTCTTGTTGTGTACTGGGGCTAGGAAGCTTACAGAATGATTATTTCTCTTTTGAGAACAGGATTGTTGATAGAATAAGTGGTAAAAAGCCTGTCTGAATTGTTATGCTGATACTCAAGACAAGGGGAATACCTATTGTTTGACATAAACAGATGACAACATGAAAGCATTAGAATAGGGCACTTCTTTCATTCTTTACAGACTTGCAACAAGGAGAAAATTTAAGCTGCAGTGCCTGATATTTATGACCGGATTCAGAAATTGCTTGTGACTCGCTTTGGTGTATTTAAATACAAGGTTCAGATGGAGGTTTTACACTGAAAATGATTATGTTCTCATTAAGAGAGGAGTGGGGTGATATGATTGCATACGCTTACATTTTTAGGAGTTTATTTTACTTTTCCTTGTAAAAGGGAATAAAAGGCAAAATGAAAGGTAAGATTTGACCCATATTATTACAGGTGGAACCTGATTTTCCCTCTCTGTTCCAAAAGCCTTTTATTTTTACCTCCATACTGACATTTATAATAAAACTACAGTGAAACACTCCATCTTGCAGTACTGACTTAAATGAAAAATGAATATGTAAAAATGTGCCTTTTTAACTTACCATACCTGCTCCCTGTATGAGTTCATTTGCACAGATAATTCTCTGGTAAATACGTCATAGGTGGGTGAATGTCATTAAAAGAAATCTGGAAGGCATTTGCCATTGCAAATCAGTGGCAAATGTGTTTATCAATTTATTATTATTATTTTTTTTAATGCTCTGAAGGTCACAAGACTGCATCAGTACCACAGAGGCATCAATATTTGGAAAGACCTGCATGTCTCAGAGGCTACAGAATGCAAAAACAACAAAAGCTGTTTTAATGCTTTTACTACATAAGGAATTTGCTCAATTATCAATTAGAAAGATATAGCTTCCCTGTTAGTTCGGCATGTGGTGTGAATTTAAAATGGAGCTCTTCAAGAAACCTCCATTCCAACACAAATTGTAGTGGCACAAAATTGTTTGCCTCACCACACCATAAATGAGAACTGAAGGTAACTCGCAGAGCTAATTCTTTATATTTCATATGGACTTTAAATCAGGGTATCAGAACAGCTGTGGAAAATGAAAATCCAGATGCAAATGAAAGGTCTATCGAATTTCCACATACCACTCCATTAACTGAGAGCAGCTGGTCGCCCCGTTTGAGCCCTCCGTGCCTTTCTGCCACTCCTCCAGGAATTATGCGGGAAATGTAAATGGGTGAATTTTGTTCCTTTCCTCCCATCACGTTAAATCCCAGGCCTTCATCTGTCTTTGGCAGCTCAACCACTCGCGGGTGTGAATGGCCTTCGCTTGCAGCAAAAGCAGCAACTGTTGCCTGGAAGAAAAAACAGTGATTTGGCTATACTGGGAGAACGCTGATACACTCTGTTGTTCATTCTGCAGGAAGAACTCATCTCTGTGAAAACATTTCAGCATCTTATTCTGCCTTTTTTTTTTTTTTCTTTTTTCTGATTATCTGAAAGCACTTTGCAAAAATTAAGTTCCATGCCATTGCATTTGAAATAAAGGAATAAGCAGAAGAGTAGAGAATTCAGGTGACTTGTCAACGGTAACTCAGAAAGTTAGCAGCAGAGCCAGAAGGAGGTACCAGGAAGCCTGTCTATGCAGGGGTGAGCATTTCTGATCTACTGCAGTTCTTCTTCGCCTTTTCACAGGGAAAAAGTGCTAGTGTTGGATCAGATGATGTGAACTGCACTGTGTTCCTAGCCGAAATAAAGTGGATGAACTGAATGGTTAACTCTCTGCTTTGCTTTCCAATGTGCAGAATTGGTTATTTTATTCTTTGTGCACAGAAAAATTCCTGAAAGGACACTGTCTTAGGAATTTTAATTATAATCTTCACGAAATTTCATTAATAAAATAACTCCTGGAACAGGAATACGATTTTTTACAATATAATCTGATTGAAACTTTTATTGAAAAATTAATTTCAAGAGAATGTAATTATAGATAAATTTAAAAAATCCTAGATTTTCATCTTAATTTGGAATAAAAAACCACACAGCAAACTGTAAAGCCTGTACTTAGAAAACTGTAATACATTATATTTCAGTTTTTCACTGCAGATGTTTTTTTACTTTAATTACAGATCTCAGTAAATCATTAAATAAACAATATTTGCATCCTTTTCAAAGTATGTTTGTAGGACAACCTGCTAGAACAATTCTGCATTACACTAATACTTTTTGAGCATCCTAACAGTGCTTATGCTTAATAGAAGCTAGTAGATGACATGACATAATGGATCGTTCTTGGTTAGGTGTTTTTGCACATGCAGACCTCGTCATCATGCACACATTTAATGTCAGACATGAATGCACTAGGAGAATGCAATGCAGACAGCCCAGAAATAACCAGGAAATATTGCGGTATCGAAACATTGCTCTGTAACCCTGCTGTTCTATATGAATAAGAAATGAGAATGGCAAACACTAATTGGATTTCTCCCCATTTATTATGCAACATAGCAGAAATTTCTATGTTTAGTTGTAGTGTAGACAAAGCGGGATCTCACATACGCATTTCTCTATATTGCAGCACAGACCTTAAAAATTTACATTGTCCATTAAGTTTATCTCAGACGAAGGTTAAAATCAGAACAACCTGATGTTCTACTTAGTAAGGAAAATATACTGAAGTTTTGAATATTATTTGCTGGCTACTATTGGGCTTACTTTTCTAAAACACTGCAGAAATCTTTTAATAACATACTCCCAACCTTCATCATTTGATGCAACTTTACATGAAAGTTCCTAACACAAATGCATAATGGTAAGATCTTATTCCCATTAAGATTTCTGGGAGTCCGTCACTAACTTCCCAGGAGTGAGACCATAATGAAATACTTCTAAACTGGATTTATGGCTTTTGCAGGTTTACTTGTTCTGCACAGTACCTGCTTTACCATCCAGAAGACAATCTTGAGTACAAAACGATAATGGAAAAAATAAAGTCATGGTGAGTGAACGTCCCTGTCTGGAACTGTCTATCTTTGTACATCTTATGAAAATATAGAGCATACTACACACCAGAATACAGAATATATTCCTTCAAGTTTGTGTGGATTTCCTTAGAAAATTACCATTTTACTAATAGCAGTAAAGTAGCTGTCATGGCCTAAGGACACGAGAGGAGCAGGTTCATACGAACAGAGAGACAAAATACTTCATTAGAACAGGTAATGCATTAGAAAAAGTGGACTTGCATTCGGCTGTGGATTCTCCTGATCCAGCCACTTGTGTCACTGCTCATCCTCACTACTTGCTCAGCACCTACAGCTCCTGTTAATTGAAGTTAAATTTTGACTGTGCAGTTGCTACCTCCTAAATCATTGTGTCCTCACTGGATGAGATATATGCAAAAATAGTCCACTGAAATATAGACTGTAGCAGGCAGACTTCTATAGAATTACCCAGTAGATTTGCTTTTGCAAAGCACTTTTTCAAAAAACATCAATTTCCACAAAATCATTCTCTTTTCTTAAGCTACAGAAGCAGCATAAAGGTTTAAATTTTCCATTATGATTGTTACCTGGGAAGTAGCACTGGTTCTAGACTCTGGGCTGCCACTGATGTCTAAATTTTCTTACAGTGTACACACGAATACCTGAAACACACACGCGCACAGTCAATTACTGGGTCACTTTGGTACCACGTACTTCAACAGTTGCACGTATCCTACCTTTGCAGTGGCCCTGGCTCGGAACTCGGGGCAGCCATTAACAGTTATGGTTTCATGCATGTATTGATACACCTAAAATGTTCACGAAAATAAAATGAAATTAATTAGAGAAGCAAAACAAAGAGCTTATATTAATTGAGACAGGACAGTTTCTTTCCCTCCTAAGATGATGTTTCATTAATGCTGTATCCATGCAGTCACGAAAGTAGGTGTCTGCCAAACTTGTGCATGCTTAGGTTTACGGGAAACATGAGCCCACACTTCCCATGATACTTTGTAGTCTTAACTGCACATCTTCCAACATTGTTCCCTTCAAACCTTTAGCACAACCCTTCCCAAAAAATGGGACAGTTTGGTTTTGTGGTACCCAAACACTGGGGTATCCCTGTAACTGATGTGAACTCAAATGATATGAACTGATTTGAATGGTGTCTTTGCCTCCACCGATGGCTTTTTTGTTCTCTGACCTTTCTAATGAAGTAAAGATTTAGGAGGCTGATCTTAAAAAAAAAAAAAAGTAACTTGCTCAGCATACAGATGCTGAAGAATGGAATTGAAAATTAAATTTTGGAGAAAGGTCACTGCACCAGTTTTCATCAACCACAGCTAGGAATGCGGAAAAGGGCTGGCAGTCTGCTAAGTCAGACCTGGAAAATGGGTAATACATAGGTCACTCCGAAAGTAAAGTCTCCTACTTATTTCTATGGAAACTACAAAAGCTTCAAAGAGCACAATTTTTGATAGGGCAAATTCTTAGCCACAAAACACTATTTTTCAACAGTCTCCACTATAAGCCATGCATTATTGCCAGCAATGAACAAGAACCTGCATGCTGTGCTTGTAAAAATCTGCACCACTAGAGGTGACCCACAGTTTCTCAGCTGCTATGACAGCACTGTTGCTGAGATGCACCACCCACTGCCTCACTGAGCTCACACTGACTGTTTGCTTTCCATAAATGTTCTGCAAATGCTAATGAATGTCAATGGGTGCCATTGGAAGAATTAAATGACACCCCTTTGCTTCATACACACTTTCATGTCAGGCGCCATTCTGTCAGACTGCCCCTCTGCTGCCATCTGTCAAATGGCAACAAAATGTAATGGAATATTAGTGGGATGGTTCAACTTCTATTGCCATACCAACAACATCCACTTCCAGTGGGACAAAAGAATAAAATAAGAGGCGTTGCTTTCGGAGCAGCCCTCATGTCATTCTTTAGAACAGAATTGTACACTCAAATAAATGGCATGAGATTAACACAGTTATTATATACAACTTTCCCTCTGTTGTCTTTTCTGAAACACACTCTTGGCCCTCTTTATATGGTTCTTAATTCTCCCTTTTAAATACTTCCTGTATAGAAAAAGCCCTCTCTGCAGGCATGAACGAACACACTCTTTGTTCCATGAATTTGTCTCATTCCTAGACGAAAAACATTTTAAAAACGCCTTGTCACAAGTCAGTCATTTTGAAATCACCTCCAATAAAGAAATAAATAAGTAAATAAGTGATATATAAACAATTTTTTGAAACACAAATGTGTATGCATACAAACAAAATCTCTCACTCCTCATACAAAACCAGCCAATCTAAAAAATTGTTCCTATATACCACTGATTTACTCTGAGTGTTTTCTTGACATACTTCATCAGGAATTCTGTCTTTTCATGGTGTTTTAATTCAGGCTGTATTCCTGAGAGAGATCTTTTGCTGGTAAATTACGTTCACTTTTATGGCAATCTTTCCTGGGGTTCTTGAGGACTGCAGACTCAGTTGTACTTTACACAGTATACAAAGTATTTTACCTTTCACTGATGTGATGATACTTAAGCAGGAGTTGCTGAACATCTTTCTTTGGTAACGTCTATGTTACTTTGGCAGACAAGATGTCAGGTCCTGTAGTTAACATACCTACAAATAACAACTTATCCCATTGATAGTAAAATTTCCCCATTGCTATGACCTGACAACTTGCTATACAGAATCATACACATATATATGTCTCCACTAAGCCAGTTATTATAATACCTACACACTGATGAGTATATTGCTACAAACTTCTAAATGGAATTAAGACACGTAGCTCACTTCAGATCTCAGCTAACAGACAACTTTTGGGATGACTGATTCCCAAATCTTTTTTGAGGGACATCATACACAAGCGAAGGACAAAGAAGTGAAGGAGATATCAACAAACAGAAGCATTTTAGACATATACAATATACTAACTGCTTTGAAAGCACAGTAAAAGATTATTTGCCTTGAATATCATCAGCACATAGGCCCATCTAAGACTTAATGCAGAAATACTGGGTCCACTGAATATATCTAAGGTAGAGGGAGAAGACTGAAAATTTCCTGCTTTCTACATCCGAAACGAAATCTTTCTTCCATTGGTAGAATTGACATTGATTTCAGCAGAAGCTGTGATTTTGCCTTTAGTTTTAAAAATATAGAAAAAAAAACATTTTACAGTCACTAAAAGGTGTCTGGTTTGCTTTAGCTTTGCACTAGACTATGCCTTCAACTAACAGATTGAATGTACATTTTCAGCATAATCTTGCATAGATCAGTTCAACATTTATTCTAAGTATTACGGTGTAGGAGAATTCATTATATAAGAACAACCACTGTGTAACTGCAGTTATGAATAATTAAATACTTGCTATTTCAAAACTCATACTGTACTGAATCACTGATAATGCTCTATTCTTGATACTTGTCAGTTATCTTACATTATGAGAGGAGATTGTCCACATTTATTCCTCCACTGGTATAAATGTTGTGGCTGGCTAGAATGTCTAAAAGCAAGTATTCTATTACTGAAGAATTATGACATTAAACTTCTTTGAAAACAGGTCACAACATTTCATACATAGGAGCAGTTACTGTTACAATATTCATTCCTAAGGTAGAATATCACAAATGATATTGTGAGCTGATAAAGATACTTCATTTGATTATTAGCTAGGTCTAATGTCATGTAACTCCACAGTGTCTACATCCTACTAGTATGTAGCTGACAGGTTTTATAGTATCCAATGTCCTAAAAACTAATTTGTATACTGATGAAAGAAAAAAAAACTCACTAGCAAGTGATTAAGCTAATACATTTTAAAAGAATCAACCAACTCAAATAAACATGAAAAATGCAAGCATTAGTGCTATTTATTGTAAATTATCAAAAGTAATATATTTAGAATGATTATCTGCCACCAGTTATCAGTGATTGTACCACCTACAGCACAGTTCATAGGAAAATAAGTTTTTCATCTCAAACCTAATTCTTTATAAAACAACAGGTCTCGAATATCTGCTTCAGGCTATCATTAATCTAATTCTCCTGCGTAATGATTGCTACATAATGCATAACGTAATTTGAGCTAAAGAAGGATAAAACATACACCTAAATGACTTTCTGCTTATTAACTCAGTTTAATAACCACATGCAGAATGGTTGTTCCACAAAGTTCATTAAACTCTTTCTAAGGTTCAGACTGCTCACTTCAGCAATGCACAAAAGCATAAGTCCACAAAGAAGGGAAGGGAAGGGAAGGGAAGGGAAGGGAAGGGAAGGGAAGGGA